CTGGCTAAATGTTTAGTGCAAACTTCATTTTCCTGTTAAAGGTAAAGTGGATGTGTCTAAAAAAATATAAAGTTATAAATTCTTCTGTAACCTCAAATTACAACTTTTACAAACATCAAGACTTATATAAATTCTGATTATTTCACTTACTTGACATTTTCTCTAAGTTGCTTCACAAGTTTGATATTAACATCAGCTTCCAGTAATGCTGTACATACTTCTTTTAACATAGCATTTAAAACCTTTGGAATATTAAAAAAAAATTGTTTTACAATACACAGGATTGACCACCACAAAACAAGTCTGTGCATTTGTTCCTACATAAATAAAATTTAAATGTGAAAGGTAATAATGGAAGAGAAGGATTCTCAATTGTAACAACTGCACACTATATAACATAGTAACAACAGAACACTTCTTATTGCTTTAAGGCCAACAGCCACTTATATGGTAGCAAGACTTTCTAAACTTCCCTATGGGTACTCAGAGAGTACACCAAAAAATCTCATATCACACCACCAGCTCTGTATATACAAGTATTCCTAAACTGCAAGATGGACACCCTGCTATCTGCATTTTCAGAAACTGGACTGCTGCTCTGGTTGTATTTCTTCTAGGCAAGCAGGTGCCTTGGTTAGAAACCCAGTTTATTAGTTGTAAGATTTTTCAAAGTGAAAAGTCTTGAACAGAAAGATTTTTTTTGAAAGTAACACCTGCATAAATGGCCTCATTTGCACATCTTGAGCTCTTGGAGGATAAAAGTTTCTACTGCTACATACTGGGCTGTATTTGATTCAGTTAAGGATTTGTTGTCTCCCAGCTGCCAATATGGTAAAATCCTTCCTCTATGCACAAGTTCCAACCCTACAGCTCTCAATAAGCCTACTTTTTAGTTACTTAAAGCCACCTGTTTGTCCATCTGAAAACAGTTTCTGACAATTTATTTAAATTGTCAGAGGCACATTTAAACCATCACATTAGTTAGTTTGCCATCTTGCTTTTCAGTCCTATAACAAAATACACCTAGCTATAATTTCAAACTCTTAATTACAAAACATACAGACTATACCAACTGCAACAAACGTCCAGAATCACACACTGGCTTGAATATAAAGGCAGCAAACAACACACTCCTCACATTTCAGACAGCACAGCTTACATTGAAAGCTATTTGTTCTTCCACATTTCAGCTTCTACCAGCCTAGTTCACATCTGCATAGTCTGGCTGCACATACAGCCATACATCAGAGCAGGTGCCTACCTTCCGCCCAACCTTTGGTACGTGCCTCCTCTGGCATTATCTCCACGGAACATTAATCTCCCTAAGTACAGCCACCACACTCAAGGACCCTTTGACCACAGAACCCACTATCTCTGAGGTGATTATCCATGTATAAATCTAGTTTTCAGTTCTGGCAGTATTCTCAGGGGGTTAAAACTTCCAGTAGAAATTTTACTTGAAGGAAGAAAAGAGCCTCCAGATAACATCAGCCTACTTCAAGCTTTTCATCAGCCTCTGAGAACTTTTTCTCAGAACTTTTAAAGTGTTAGTGCCATCACATTTGCACACTAGTTACCTCCTCATTGATAATGGTAGCATTGCTCAGGGAGCGCAATGCTGAAGTTATTTTTCTTCCAAGATCTGCGAGAACCATTTTGGCGGCTTCAAGTACAACTCAGAAGAATCTGGAAAACAATTAAAAAAAAATCAAGTTACATGTCACAAATTAATTATTCCAGGAACTTTCAGGTAAAGAATCCTGCTTTGCAATCCAGAAAGTGCATAAGTTTTACTTTTTAGTTATTTTTAGGAAACACTGGCCTGAAGCTAATTTTAGGTTATCCTGATGGCCTACTTAAAAACAGAGATACCACACTTCAATTGGAAAGCACTTCACCCTGTAGAATAACTGCATTGTATTCACCAGGAAAAAACAGTTCAGACAGACTTCCAGAAAGAACACTTCCTGCTTTTTATCTTCTTGTCAGCAATATGCTACATGACAGAATAAAATCAAGCAGGATAGCTTAGAAACTCTGCATCCTGCAAAGCCAGTATGACCAGAAGCAGGATATTTTGCTAGCAAAATTGAACATTATTTACTGGTTGCATTTTATCTAGCTTCCAATAAATCAAACTGAATTTCCCATTTTACTAACCCTACAAACATGCTTGCATTTTAATAAGCAAAATTCGCATTGTAGTTTTTAATGGATTTATTGGAAAAACAGATTGGTTTTGTTCACTACAGACACAAATCTCACATATAAGTGTACCACAACTTACAGTTAAGAAGCCATAAAAAGTTAATTTCTGAAGGGTATGAATATTCAGTTCAACATGTTAAACCACTCCACCTCCTATATAATCCTCCAGATATATTCCAAAAGAGCTGAAACAAGTCACCCATGTAAGCCAGTCTCCTGATTGTTTTGTCTAATTGAGAGTGACTATTGTTACAAAGCTGGCAGGTTAAACCAACAACAAAACCCTAAAACCAACTGCCAGCCTAACCCTCTCCCCCCCCCCCAATACTGAGGTCACACTGCAGAACAAAGTCTTCAGGAGCTTCAACAGATGTAGGATAAATAAATCCACTGTAAATACAGGACCTGGGTACAGCAAATGATGCAAATAAATGCATTTACACATTTTAAATTTAATGTACATTGTATGTACAAGCAATTCCAAAGTGATATCCATTACCATGCCATCTCGATATTCATTAAAAAAATTAGTCTATGCTTCCTAAGGACCTCTACCCATAGAGTATCAGTACATTAACAGGTATGGATGTCCACCTTCTTACAGTGCTGAAAGAGGACTTCATGTTATCTGAAGTGGTAAGGAAGGAAACCTTGGGAGTTTTACAAGGCATACAAGTCACATTATTGCACCATAATTCTAAAAAACCATTATCATCAATATGATCTACCAAAGGGTCTCAGCAAATCAGATGTTCAAAACGTTTTTCAAGTTCATTTCCTATGAAAATCATAATAATGCAAAAATAAAACCCCTTAGAAATAGCATTGCAACTCCGTAAGCTTTGAGCTGCTAAAACTGCATCCACAGACAAAACTTAACTACAATACTTGGATATAACAGCTAAGAAATTTGATAGGATGACCAACATACAGAAGCCATGTGACTGCTCAGTATTTAAAATTAGTTTCCAGAGTTCTATGGGTCTCTAAATACAGAAAGTTAATTATGTCCTAAGATACAAATGTTTCCTCTGCAGAATTCCAAAAGCTTCTTCCAACAGCTTTACAATAGGAATAACACAAATACTTTGCTAAAGAGATGAGTTTAAGTATTTTCATATCAACTGCTCTCGCTAGCACATTAAGAAATCATAAGCCATCAGAATTACTAAGGAGTGCCAAGTACAGAAATTAACAGAGCTTGTCACACACAGTCCATCCCAGTCGAGAGCCACACTCCCGACAACTGCTTGGGTGGGCAGGCAGCCAGGAGGGCATTAGCAGTGACTGCACTGCAGAATATGGATATGCTGAGCATCCGTAGTTCTGAAGAGCTGAGCTTTAATGCAGCATCCCACAAACACCCTGAGCAGGGTTAAACCCGGCAGGGCCCCCTAAGAGACTTGTCAGGCTGCAGCGAGCAGGTCTCTGCTGAGCTCAGCTCTGCACAGTCTGAGCCACCTGGGCACCTCCACAGTGAGCTCCCAGGACATCCTTCTGCTCCATGGAGTGCCAGGACTCTGTGCTTCTGCCGGGAACAGGCATTTCAGGAACCAAGAGGCAGCAGAAATAGCGGGGGGTTTATTGGGTCTAAGAAAATCAGCAATGAAGCAACTCTGAAGGGACAGACTGCCTACCGCTGCTCAGCCCCCCAGCATAAACCTATACAAATCTGCCTAGCTAATCTAGCAGTACTCTTTTATGTAAAGGATTTTAAAAAGTGAAAAACTCTAAAATGCAAGAGCTGTTTAAACAGCTGTTTAAAAGATAGCAAGCAAAAGGGACATTTACTTAGAGTCTGTATAATAAAGTTACACTAAATGTACACTTACATGGATCAGATCAATCTCAAGTCAAATACTGTAACGGAGCAGCAGCTGTTTCACAGGTGCGAATGGCTGGAGCTGCTGCAGCGTCACTCAACCTTAGCCTACGAGTTTCCACCTTCAAGTTACCCGGCAACGGACGGGAAGGCGCCCCCGGGACGGCAGCGGGGACCGGCTGTCTCGCTTATAGCCCAACGCCCTAGTTTTCAAGGGAAAGGAGGGAAAAGCGAAGGAACAGTCTTGGATACCTGCCCGACCGCTGCCTTCTCCGCGGGCACCCGGGCTGACCACAAACAGCGACCAGGCCCCGCCCGGGCGAGCCCCGTCCCAGTGACTCGGACAGCGGGGACTGGTCCGGGAGACCCAGAACTGCTCCCACTGAGCTCTGGCGGACCGAGGGCCCTGAGCGGCCCGTGCTGCCCCCGTCCAGTCCCGGGGCCAGGAGGGCCCGGTGCCCACCTTCCGTCCCCGCCGACGCGACAGCTGCGAGCACTCACCGTGCGCGCGGAGCGGGGCACGCGGGCAGAGCCGCGCCCAGCCCAGCCCAGCCCGGCCCGGCCCGGCCCGCCCGGCGCTGCCGCCGGGGCGAGGCCGCCCCGCGAGACGCTGCTGTCGCCGCTGGAGCCGCGCGGAGCTGCGGCCGCCGCCGGCAGGGAAACGTCAGCAGTGGCCCTCACCTCGCGGGCCGCGCTTGTTTCCGCTTCCGGGGCGCGCGCTACGGCGGGCACTTAAGGTGGCTCCGTGTAAACGGCCCTCCCGCGCCGGGCACGGCCCCCCGGCACTGCTGGGAACCGCCTTAAGGGAGAAAGGGGGTGGTGCGTGCCGGCGAGGGGGAGGGGCCTGGAGCAGCGCACGCGCGGGGGGAGGGCCCCTACGGGCCAAACCGAGCATGCGCGAAAGGCTTTTTCCGGGCGATGTAGCCTTGCGCACGCGCACTGGCAGTGCCGCTCTCGCCCCCCAGCGGCCATGGAGCTGGGGGCTGCGCGGCGCGCGGTGCTCGCGGCCGTGCGGGGCACGCGCGCGGCCGACCTGCCCCGCCTGCTGCACTGGATGCGCCACTCCCGTAAGCGCCGCGCCCGACGGGGCGCCCGGCGGCTGCCGGGGCGGGGGCGGGCGGAGCCCCAGGGCGGGGGGCGCCGTGCGCCGTGCCCGGGGCGGGGCGCCGCTCCCCGCGCAAGCGTCTGGGCCTGCTGGGACGCGAGTCGCTCGGGACACCGGCTGGCACCGGCCGGGCCGCGGCGCTCGAGGAGGCCGGAGCGGCGCCCGCCCGGCCCCTCCCGGCCTGCGGCGCTGCTGCCCCCGCGGCCGGGCCGCGGCCGCACCCTCCGCTGCGTGCCGAGCGGTGCCCAGGGCCGTGCCAGCGGCCGGCGGCGCTGCTGGGCGGGCCCGGCGTGACCCCCGAGCCCCGCGGCGTTACGGGCCGTGCGGAGCCACCCTGCCTCTGCCGCGCCTACAGGGCTTGGCTCGTTCAGCTCCACACGTGTTCACAGCAGCCTTTCCCAAGCTTGGAAGTAGCGATTTGAGCTCATTTACAAACACTGCTTTCCTCATTTGATGTCACCTGAAATTAACACAGCTTTCTGGTAGCTTTCTTATTTGTGCCTTGATATAATTTCATCAACGTGCTACAATCAAGCATCTTGTGGCAGATGAAGAAGGGAAATGTGGGTCAGTGCACAAGCTGTTAATTTGCTGCTGAACCAAAGAATGACACGGAAAACCTCAGTATAGGCAGCGCACTACAGCTATAGGCACAAAGCGCCGTGCTGAATAAACTGACTAAATGCTGCTTAGTCTCAGAGTATAGGTGCATTTTGCCATTGCAGATAGGAATATCAGAGGCCCCTCTGGTCCTTTGATCCAGTCTCAAGCAACCAGTATGTGTGTGTCCTGTTTATTAATTATTGCCTGCTGGGACAGTTAACCCTGACGATCATGCGTCGGAGATATTCATATGATACATTACTTCCCCGAGTCATGCCCTGCGATGCTAGGGTTATGCTTCCTGTTCAGGTCTTTTTCTCCCTCACTTCCACTTTAGGGGGGAAACACCTTCATAAGCAAACGGACAGGCACTGTGGTACAAAGGCCAGCTATGACACCAAGTAGTTGTCCAGCTGTCCAGGTACTTGGAACTGCAAACTCACTGTTGCCTTGTGATTTGCGGCTCCCACGGCCACTCACGTGGAGAGGCGGGAGAGATCCTTCTCGAGTGGAGTGGGCCCTCTGCTGGATTTACAGGAAGGGAATCAATTGGGAAAAGCGTTTACCATCCATGATGCGCACACAGCCCTCCCATCCAAAGGGGTTCTTTCCTAGCAGAGACATTACCAGATGTTTCAGTGCATCTGTGAGTCAGCCTTCATGACTAGAGCAGGGATGAGACTTCCTAAGACCTGAAAGCTTAATTTTGATGGAAGTAGTTAGTGTTAATTGTAAATAAACATTGTTATTTTCTGTGTGTATGGATGTGCACACACATATGTATATCTATACGTATGTATATGTCTATGTTTATAGACACAATGCTAGAGCAATCTGCTGTAAGCAGTACTTCATCCCTTCACCTTTGAGTCCTTGTCTGAATGCAATAGCATGCTCTGCTTGCTGAACAGTGCTTGGTTTACTGTAAATAATGTTGTTAGAGATTTAATATGTTCCAATATAAAAAATCTCATGGGATTTCATATGCAGTTGTTCATATTGCTTCTTCACTTAAAAAATCATCACAGCTCCTATAAACTATTATTAGTTTGGGTGATGTGCACATATGGCTTTCTCAGCTTCCTGACTCCTTTACAAATACAGTAAAGCACATGTGAACTTACTAGTGAAACTTGAAAATGCTGAACTGTTTCAGGTAGGAATCTAGTACTTATTATTTTCTCTGCTTTGATTCTATTAGGGTGCATTTTTAGCCAATGGCACAGTTTATGTAGTTTATGTAAACTTTCCAAAATCCTTTGTCAATGAATACATTTCAAATTTTTTTTTATGCTGTAGCTTCCAAAATTTATCTTAGTTTCTGTGAAAGATAATATGATATGGTTTCTAGCATTTATTAGATCATGATCTCTTAAATGTTTTTTTTTTGAATTTTAGTGATCTAGATCTGTGTCTAGGTCTTTCAGTGAAAGGAAACATATTTTTGCTTCATATTTACTCTTCATAATTAAGATACAAGCTAAAGTGTAGATCAGCTTCCAAATTTTGAATTACTTTGTGAGTGATACATCTTGTGTCCTTCTATTCTTTCTTACATTGTTTGCATCAGTAGTGATTGCTGCTGCTTCACTATGCACATCATCTATAACTAACATAATTAGCTTTGCAGTTGTCATTCAATGGCTTTTCAACTCATATTCTGCAGATCACAGGACAGAGTGGACAGGATATATTGGGCAATCAGAATCAAGCAGCTGAACTAATTATAATTTCATCTCTGTAGTGTCCTTGACAGGCCATCTTAAAAATCTTTTTTGCTTTAAGATCCTTTGTTTACAGGCTTGTGCTCTAATTATATTTTATACTAATTTTGTCTTTCAGAAAAAAAAGTTCACTGTTAATATCCTGGCTGGATGCTATTAATTAATATTCTGAGAAATCAAGTTGCATTTTAGGCATCTGCATCTTTGGCATTTGCTTACACTGTGTGATTGTATTTTGTGAAGTGCTGATGCAGTATAAAATTATAGGTAACTCTGTTTGTTCCCAGGTGTGTCATTTGGGACATGTGACTTAGGCTAATTTTATTTCCCAGATTGCCACATTTGTGGAGAAATTGAGAGTCTATAGAATTTGGTCTCAGGCTACTGCTTGTAGACGTTACCAGTTGGTGAACCTATTGATTATGATGTTTTAAGGAAAAGTATTAATGTTTGCCCAATTCTTGTGCTCTCTTGAGGTGCTGCAGTCTCCCTCTCTAACACAGATATATGTTTACATATAGGTATGTGGTAGGGGAGAGGGAATTAGAAAGCTTTATGCCTATCTATAAGAACTTTTCATCATTAAACAATTAGGATCTGTTTCATTGCCTCTTTGGGGCATGAACCTGTTCCTGTTTGTCCAATCTGCTTTGTCTGAATGGTTGTGTTTATTTCCAGTTTTCTATTTTGTCACCCTGATGAGTACAGGACTGGAGTACAAGAGAAATATCTCTCCCTTACTGCTTTTATTTGCTTACAGCATTGAACAGTAAGTGAGCAGAGGCATTGTCCTACAGGTCACATTCCTTCAGCCTTTCTGCAGTTTTCTCAGAGATGCAAATATTTCAGGTGACGTTCCCAACACAACACTCTTGATGATGCTTCTTTTTGTATTGTTCCTCTGACCTGCTTCTTTGGCTGCATCCTTGACAGTAACTTTTACTGTGTTTTTCTGAGGGGGTGTTTTTCCCCCCCTCAGAATTGTCGCATTTGAATAATTATACTGCCCATTATAACGCCTAGATAGTGCTGTGATAATTAATACTGGTTGGACTGAGGATAGTGAGGAGCTGGTAGGGGTTTCTGCTGCTGTACCCTGAATACAGCTAGGGAATATGGTGTTCTCTCTGTGCAGAGAGAAAACTTGTTTCATGGGAGATGTTAAAATGTTACCAGGTCTCTGTGCCACACAAAAATAAAAGCCTAGTCTTTGGCAATACAGATGTAGGAAAGAAACAAACCTCTGATGAACAAAAGAAAAAAAGTTGTAGGGATGGGGAGATAATATTCTGAATGAAAATTAGGATAGGATAAACGTAAAAAAAAATGGTATCTCCACAGACAAATAGTTTTCCTGTGGTAAAAGGGTTCCCCCCCTTCCTCTACTGCATCCTGTTCCTGTTTCTGTCAAAATGTTGATCTTATAGTTTTACCTCTAACTGAGGAGGACTGAGCATGATTCCAGTGTTAGCTATAGTCAGGCTTTTTTTCCTCCCTCACACCTATCTCTCAGTTAAAGTGTACATGCATCCTTAGAGTTAAGCTCTGTATAAAGTGGTTGCCCTTTAGGATTAGTGTTGTTGCAAAGACAGACTTATTTATCACTTTTACTTGATTAGTGTTCCTCATAATAGAGATGCTCCAGTCTCTTAATCATCTTCGTAGCGCTTTAACTTGGTTACTGTTTTCTGACTCGCACACTGAATGCAAGGAATGTTATTGAGAAATTTTTCCATGGAAGAGACAAATTCTTTAATAATAAAGAGAGTTATCTTATCTAAAGTAAAGACTCTTACATATTTTGAACAGAGAGAATGTTGAACACGTTCTCATTCCAATGATTTCTGACAAACTTTCCTTAGTAATTACAGGAATGTAAGTTTATGCAAGATTCTATTAATTTTTTTCTTTGTATGAATACAAAATAAAATAACCAGTCATGCTGCTTTTTTTTTTTCCCCCTCTTTTGGGGTATTGCGAATTTTAGAAATTCCAAATCTTTATGTGTGATGGAAGAAGACTGTTTTAAAGCAGCTGCTTAGCAACATTGCTTTGCTGTTTCACAATCAGCCAGCTCTTCCCACACACTGCAGTGAAATGTACGTCATTTCACGGTGACTTGTATTCCAGCTTTTCTTTTGACTTAGTCTTAGATCTCAAATCAAATTGAATAATAAGAGTTGGAAAGAAGAACAGGAATCTTTGGTGTCTTAACTTTCTTATAATAGGATGATTAATGCCTTAATATCCTTCTGCAATAACCATGTTCCAGAAGTTCTGGCTAAGAAAACCTGGGTGAAGCCCAAGAGCTAATTCAAACCACTTGGGGAAACCCCGCTGAAGATCCCCCTCAGTAAGGTCCCAGCATTTGATGTATAGCTTCTGTAAGAATTTGTGCATAGTCATATTCCCACTGTCATATTTGCACCTCCACTGCCCAAACTTTTAAGAACCTTCAGTATCAGAAGAGGTTGCGTTTGGTACAAATGGGTGCTGGAGGAGAAAACCAGTGAAAGCAGAATTGATTAAGAATTGAACAGAGAAAAGGAAATCAGAGAAAGTAAATACAGGAATATGAATTTCAATTTTGAGACTGAAGTCACCAAACCATTCTGTTTATTGGCAACTACTGAAC